GAAAAAATAAATTAGTCCCTGGTGCCTCATCGGTAATTTTGATGGCTTATAAGGTTAAAAATCGGGTTTTGATACCAGCAGTGAGCAAAGTACAGACAGTCTATTGTGTAGCTTTGTGCTTAAACAAACAAACAAAAATTAATTTGTTGTCATTAAGTGAGTTGGAAATGCATTATTTTCACTGAATAATCAAAAGTAGCCTGTCTAACGATAAAAAACAGATCACAACATAACAAACACACCACTGATTGCTAAATGTTGATTGCTACACATCCAGATGGCCAAAATTGCTTTTTTTCCTAGTTGTTTGGTGTCGATTTCTTAGATAAATAAAGGGGGTGTGAATTATTCGTCTTAGAAATTTTGGAGACACTATAAAATTATGAAGGTCTTTTTTTTTGTATTATTATAAATCATATAAAACATTGTGTAGTTTCATAATGCTCCACTCAGTTACGAACATCGTCTTTGTTAATTCTCGTTTATTGCCTTCCTTTAAACCAAATTGTCGTTGACTGCTTGGCTGTATGATGGAGGTTTCGTCATCTCGGTTTTCTTGAAAAGTAGAGACGACATAGCCCTCACCGATAAATCTGTGAAAAATAATGGAATCGGCAGTGATGCGAAGAAAGAAATTCATTAAATAGGCCGGACAGTGAGTACGAAAAAACTGACACAATTCCTTTAAAAAAAAGTGTTTTTCTATTGATTGTAAGCCCTGGCTGAATTATAGAAGCAATGGCTGAAAGGTCCTTCATAATCACTATACGAAAGGTGAACGGCGTATCAAGTTATTCTTGGATTAAGACTGCTACATAAGAACATAAGATAGATTACAAACGAGAGGAAATCATTTGGCCTATCTTGTTCATTTGGTTGTTGATCCTAGAACCTCATTAAGCTATTTCTTCAAGGATCCCAGAGATCCATCTTCAACATGTCTAGGCAGTTTGGTTTACACATCCTCGATTCTTTGTGTAAAGAAATGCCTTATAATACTGGTCCCATATCTATCTGCAATTAATTACCAAATGGTTTCAACTGGGACTTTTCAGTTTTGGTCTGAAAGCAACAGGAGCAGAAGGTTTTAGCGTATAGCCTATTTATTTTTGTTTGTTTGGAGGATTTTCATTTATGGTCGCACTTTTTTTGTTGTTGTAAAAATTAAGGTTTTTCAACTACTGTGCATAGTGCATTTGTTTCTGTAGGTTGTTTAAGCATATTTGTTTTGTACTTGTAGTGCTTTGCAGTGTACCCATCCAACCATTAAAATATAAATTCTTAAACATTCTTGCCACGCTTTGCTCGGTAACTTCCATTTACATTCTGGGTTCTTTTGCTGTAAATAAAGTTTTGTATATTTTTGAACCTTAAAAAACATGGTCCAGTGTATATGATGACGGTAGAGTTACCAGTAGACCTTAAGTCCTAAATTGGTATTAGTACGTAAATATTGTTCTTACGACTTTATATTATTTTACGTGTATTCTTTTTCTGCAATACTGTTCCTTTCATGGTGGTAAAATTAGTGCTCGGATTATACACTCTAGCTTACTTTATTATTATTATACATCTTCCACTGTTCATTTTCTTATTTCTCTTTAAGCTTAGTGTTTCCAAATGTTCCGATTTTCTCTCGTCTGTACTAAATTACGTCAATGCATATACTTTCTAAACTTGCTTAGTTCGCTAACACCAGAATAACAAGTTATTCCAAAGCCTTAAACATTAGTAAATGTTTTTATCAATATTGCTAAACCTAAGTTTTCTGTTTAATAACAAGAGCTTTACCAACCATCCTACAAAATTGTCTGTACCTTTCAAATGGGCGTGTTTGTTTATTTGGTTAATCATGAAAGCAAGAGGTCATTTCATTTACACAAACTTTAATCAACCACCTCCTGCCATCTTTAAATTTTGTGATGTTCAAATTTTAAACTATCTTATTTCCATTAGTTGATTGAGAAACTGCTCGCATTGTGGCGCTGAAGGGCAATTTTAAATTACTCAATTAATTTAATTGCTTTGTTAAAGGTGATTGGTATTTACTGAAGCCACTTAAATTCAAAACTAACTTTTACCACGTTTCTCGTATTTAAGAGAAAAACTACATTATTAGCGACAGCACTGGAAACTTGGTTCAATAGGAATGTTGCAACCAGGGGTGAAATTCTAAAACATAAAAAAGTAAATGTACTAGCTGGGTGAATGGACCTGTTTTTCAAAAAGAAAAAAATTAAGTATAAATATAAAAAAACGACAAAGTAGCTCAAATAAGTCCCGGTACTAGTACCACCTTAAAAATGAGTTCCGGGTGAGAACCGGCAGAATTTCACCCTTGGTTGAAACTATAAAATTAACGGGAAAATAGGTTTAAATAAGCGAATTGTTCTCAAGCGGAATTAGGATTAAGGTCTTGGAAGTTTTCGATACACGTAACAATTACATAACCTTATCAATGTGGAGACTGTGGCATGAATTCTCTATGTACATTTTAATTATGCTGCATAGTTTATGTGGTTGGGTACGGTTAAATATTTTTAAATAATAAATGAAATATGTTACAGAGAGAAAACATTACTGTAAATTATTAGTAATTTCTAAGAAACAAAGTAGTTTTTTATTGTCAGAACTGAGTTTCTACTAGCCTACACGTATGAATGACAAAATGTTACATATGCTTTAAGTTTAATTGGCTATCATTAATTATTATCATTGACATTTTCTGCATTTATACATTAAATATTATGATCGTTTTATTTTTTTTTCTTAATTTGCTAATGTTTCAATAGAGAGAAATCAATTAGCAACATAAAACTCCTTGTTTCGTCAATATTTACGTAATATGCAAAACGTACTTAATCAGTACCACCGGGTATGTAAATTATTCAGAAAGTATACGGTTGAGTGTATTTGGTTGATAAATAAATAAAGCCAATTCACACACACACAGATAAAAAAAATCGCATCAATACGAAACAAATTAAACAAGTTGAAATTGTACCAGAAGTGTAACTTAGAAAAAAGTACTATTTTGGAGAATAACTGCTGATGGGAAGACTCCGTCTCGCCATCTTTCCACCCAATCGAAGGTAAAAAACTGGTGTATTAAGAAAAGAAAATTAAGTAGTATATTATTCAAAGGGTGGGACTTATGTGCTCTAACCCACAACTTTTCGAGTTCATTATGCATCCACTGTCCGATATATTTTATAATATATATATGAATAAAACCTCATAACCTTACCGGGTTTTTATTCATTTCTATCAAGACTTCTTGAACCTTACATGTTTTTCTAACATCATTGAACTACCTCTACCCATCATGGTTAATTACCCCTTAGTACCAATTATTATATAACTATACTACCCACCGATATAGTCCATAATATATAATCACCCAATCTCCACCCATCATTGTTAATTACCCCTTAGTACCAATTATTATATAACTATACTACCCACCGACATAGT